GTTATTATCCAAACGGTGCGCACGACACTTATCAGGTAAATGGTCAACATCAGCTGCCAGTCGGTCAGCAGCAGTATCATTATCAACAACCACAACAACAGCACCTGCAGCAGCAACAACAATACGCACAACAACAACAGCAATATCAACAGTATCCACAGCAACAATTCCAAGGGCAGCCAGTTCATTTAAATCCTAATCAGGTATATCAAACGGTGGGTGGTCAACAACAACATTATCAGCAAGCACCGCAACAGCAATATCAGCAATTGCCACAACAACAAAATCAGCAAGTGCCACAGCAACAATATCAACAGGCTCCACAACAACAACAAGTACCAAAGCAACAACAGTATCAGCAAGTGCCACAGCAGCAGCAGCAGCCCCAGCAACAGCCGGCCGTACCGAATCAGCAAGCACAACAGCAACAACAGTATCAGCAAGCGCCAAAGCAGCAGCAGCAGCCCCAGCAACAGCAACAGCCAGCCGTACCGAATCAGCAAGCACAACCTCAACAACAACAGCCGCAACAGGCACAACAACAAGTAGAGCAACCGCAGATGGCACCACGGCAACAACCACAACCAGCAGATGGTGGTGCTCAAGCTTCTGTAAATACTCAACAACAAAACATTCCGCCGAAATATTAAAGCGACAAGTCTTTTGAATATGCTTCCGCTATACGTTAACGTTACACAGCTGCAGTTATTTACTAATCAAATAATCATATACGATCAAAACAGATGCCGTTTTTCTCACTGGCATAAATCAATTTAAAAGCGTGTTATTACTAAGGCTCACGGCTTTGTGCGTCAATATAAGGCTGCAAATATGGGTTCCGCAATGTTGCATATTTAAAATTCCATTTTTAACTGTAATTCATGACGCTTACATACATACATACGTACAAATCGATTTGGCATTTTATTTTCCACTTTAATGCGAATATTCGAATAAAATGTAGAAGCATACCAAATTTTTAAGTATTGTACATTTAAATTATTCAACTGTGAATTTTTTGTGTAAAAATGTATATCAGCACTTTAATTTGTTACTTTACTTTCACCAATCATTTATTTACTGTATATGCATTATGTAAATATTTTATTAAACCTACTAGATTTGCAAATTCAACGAAACAAGCTTCGAAAACAGAAAAAGTTTTTATACCTGCTCTCTTAAAAGTATATTAAAACTCATTTGAGGAAATTTAATAATAAAACCAGTATTTTATTTATTAATTTTTATATACGAGGTCACAATGCTCCCAAGATGGATTTTTTTAATTCAAATTATACTTCGTGTAATAGGTTGTTTTTAAGGGCTTCGTTTAAAATTTTAATAGCGAAAAAACCAGGGCTTCGGAGCGGAGCGGAGCAAAGGACCAAGGAGCTAAGGAGCAAAGGATTTTAGCTGGAGCGGAGCTAGAATAAGAGTTGAAAAATCATTTGCTCTTAGCTCCTTAAAGAAAAAATTTCAGCTTACAAATTTACTAGTTTTTTTCCACCGACAACAACCTCGTTAAATAACATTCCATGAAAAACCCATGACTTAACATCTAATTTTATTTACAAGACAAAATACATTGGGATCATATAAATGTGTAGTGCACATACATATGTGTGTAAGTTTATAAACTCATAAAAGTACATACATACATTCATACGCTACATGGAGCCCTAACCGCCAAAAAACGCAAGCGAAATTTTTTGCTTGCATTTTCGTTTGGATCCAAAAGTGCAGCTAGAGCAACTAGAGACATTTTTGTATCACAAATAAAATTTTCAAAAAAAAAGTCGATATGTACATAACGTCGCCTGGGTAGAAGATTGTCGTATGTTGATTTCGGTAGGTTGTCGAAAATCGCGATTGAAGTTTGGAATGCAATTTCTCAAAAACGCGAAGATAGATATTCTTCAAAGTCTCTGAAAATGTTACTAGCTCACAAAATTCTTAAATTATTTAATGTTTAATGTTAATTAGCTTTCGAGTTTATGAAGGATTTTCTTTAGTAAAATTTTCTCGTAAGCGTCATTTGTCCACAATTTGGCAGCCACTTTGTATGCAATATGACAAAATGTGATCCAAATTTCTACTAAATTAACGATACTTTTTACTCAATATCTCGGAGACTAAAGGAGATATCCAAAAATAGAGAACGTAATTTTTAAAATATTGATTAGTTTAATATGGCTGCATCACTAACTAAATTTTTACTAAATTATAGAAAAATTTGTAGGCAATATCTCGGAATCTAAAGGAGATATCTGCAAACTGATAACACCAATCAAAAGACCTTATCTCAAAATACCCTACAGGAATTGTGTGATGGAAACTAACACATTCTCATTTATCTTACTAACACATTTGCAAATTTTGCGTTGGTTAAAAAGAGACCATTAAATAAGGCCATAAGTTGGAGGAAGACGGAAGATCACATGTACACAAATATTTACATCAGATTTTTCACACTGCCCTTTAGAATTTGATAGAAACTT